TGGCCTTACTTTAGATACAATGTCAAGCATAGGCTGGCTACTGCTGTCCCCCAGGCACATGTGCCCTCCCTTGTCTCACCAGTTCCCAGCCTGCGTTGGGGGAATGTCTTTCAAGGTGACCCTTCTGAGGTTCCCGCCACTTAGATTTCCCTGGGACACAGGTGTCAAGGGCAAGACAGGGAGGTGGCTGAAAGGTCTTACTTGAGCCTAGGGTGGGCAGAGGAGGAAGCCTGTGGCAGTGGGGGGAGCTGCCTCCTGAATAATAATAGACAAGTAGGAAAAGGCAGGGGTGAGGTGGGGATAGGAGGGCGCTGCCTCGGTTCCTCGTCCTCTCTCTGCCCTGCCCAGTGGTTCCTGAGACAGCACCCAGTGCATCATTGAACCTTGTTCCAGCCCGACTCCTTCATCTGACAATCAGGAATCTGAAGTCCAGAAAGGTACAGGGATTTTCTCAAGGTCACCCAGCAATTTGGTGGCCCTGCTGGGACCATGACCCAAGCCTCTGGATACTGGCCAGTGCTTCTGAAACAGCTAAGGAAATCCTTCAGCTGCCAGCCTTATACCCACCCTAATTCCAGCAGCCAGGCCAGCAGGGGGCAGAGAGGCCACAGCCTGCCCAGGTTTGCAGCTGGGACCACTGTGTCAAAGTGGCACCTGACAAACAGCATACAGGGTCCTAGTGGAGCCTGTGGCCTGTGACCACCCCCACCTAACCCTGCCTGAACTGGGTGGGGAGGGCTGGGCTTAACCCTTGCCGACCCCCAGTGTCCAGGGACTTCAAGCAGCAGCCTTATGCAGCCTCTCACGCTCCCAACCTCACAGCTGCAGCTGGGCTGGAGTGGGAACTGGACAACACGGATATCCAGGGACACCCAGGCTCCACACTGCCCTGGCCCAGCCCTTCCCCTCTTGAAGCAGCCCAGGTCCCACTGGGGTATAAGGTGTTCCAGCTGAGCCCTGGCTGCCCTGAAGTTGGAGGGGCCCACCCCCAGCTCCAGAGGGACCTCCCCCTTCCCAGGGATATCAAAGGCAGGACCCCGGCACCCTTGGCAGGGCCCAGCATCTCTCTCCCACCTGGCCTGCTGGAGGGCCAGGGGCCCCAGAGCATGGCAGCGGCCGCGTATTGCCCCCACTTGCCAGAAAGGGAGGCCCTTTTTGGTCTCCAGTCTGTTTCAGTCCCCTTGCAACCACAATGGTCCACAGAGCTTGCAAGCCCCATGAAGAGCCAGGACCTTCCCAGGGGAAACAGAAGTCAGAGGGTCAGCAGGAGGCAGAGGGAGGCTCAGAGAAGGGGGAGAGAGCCACTGAGGACCCGGAAGTGGGAAGGGCCAGGAGAGGGGACGGATGGAAAAGAAGAGAGGGACAAGGGGGCAGTGGAATCCCAAGGGTAAGAGGTAGGTATTAAGAGGGGGACACAACTTGCCCTTTGAAATCACTGTTAATCAATAGATGGCCACAAGGCCAAGCCGAGGGCGGGAGCCTCTGGCCAAGGGCCTGGGAGGGTGTGAGAAGATCAGAGCCAGTGAGCCCTGGGGAGAGTGCAAGCTCACATCCAGTCTCCTTCCAGCCCTGGCCTTGTGACAACTGCCTTCCCCACACCGCCGGATGGATACAGGAGCACAAAGAATCCCAGAATCTAATTTTAGCCCCCTGTCTTCCCTGCTAACAGTGAGCAGAGCTGGGGAGGGTGGGAGCATCTCCCCCCACACACCCTGCCCGGGCCCTGCTCTAATGGAGGTGCCAGCAGGCAAGGAGGTCACCCCCAATCTGGGGTCTCTGCAAGGCAGGGGCTTTGCTGGGCTGAGGAGGGCCTGGGCCTGCTCCCCTGTTGAGGGGGCAGTCGCCGAGGCCAGGTAGTGACACAGTTGTGATTGGACTGCGTGAGTTTGCGTCTCGCTCTAGATGACCTCAGGCAAGATCCTCACCCCTCTCGGCCTCAGTTTCCTCGCCTGTAAAGGTAGTAAATGTTTCAGTCTTGAATGGTGCACAGAAGGCACTGGCCCTAATGATCCAGAGCTGCCGTTATTCCCCTTGCCACTGCCTGTCTCAGATTGATTGGTCACGCCAGACCCTGCTGCCTCTGCACTGACGTACAAAGGTGAAGATAACAGCCCAGTCCTGTCCAGGAGCCCGACTCTAAAAAGAACTGACCCATTACAGGGACCTCAGCATCTGGACTGTTCAGGAGTTGGGACCCAGCCCTGCCCAAGGGCAGCCAGACTGGTGGTGACAGAAGCAGGCATGATCCTGGCCTTCCAACCACCTCCTGCTATGATTTTTACCGGTCCAGAAGTGCCACTCCAGCCCTGCCACCCATAGCCACCAGGCCCTTGGAGCAGAACTCCCAGCCAGCACCAGAGCAGCAAAACATTGCCCAGTAACAACTCCAGTGGGTCAAATGCCAGCAGCAATCTCATTGGCAGGTGGCAGCTGGGCAAGGTCTCACACCCCCTTCCCAGCAGCATCCTGCCCCCCAAACACAAGATGGAGATCTCACCGAGGATGAAGAGGGAGCAAGCGCCTGATGAACCCACAAGCCCTTCTCCACCTGCGTCTTGGCAGCAGGTCAGCTGGCCCTCCTGCCATGGCACCTTCTGAGAAGAAAACTCCAAAGAATTTCCAGTGCCCCGAATTTCTCAGCAGCTGACCTGACGCAGGGGCTGGGTCTCAGCTCCCTTTCAAGGATGTCCCTGGTGACCTAAGGACCCAGATTCTTATAGAGTAAGGGCAGTTGAGGGGAGGGGTGTCTTCCTAACCCCTCCCATCTTCTCTATTGGTGCCACCCCTTGGTCAAGGACATCTTAAGACAGGGGTCTCCAGTAGTAGAAGTGCCAGGCCGAGATGGCTCACAGCCAGCTGGTGGACTGCCAAGTCTCCCTGCTTGCCTTTGTCCCCACCCCCCACCTCCAAGATATTGGCTGGGACTACTCCTGGGAGGAGGGCTGCACCTCCTCTCACCCATATATGCTGCTCTGAGCCCACCCCCTCCAATCACTAACACTCAGGTGGGCTCAGGATGCAATCAAAAGTAGGTGCTGCTCACACAGAACAGCAGGAAGGAGTGTGAGAGGAGGAGGCCTGGTCGGGAGCCCACAGTCCTGGGACCCAGCTCAGCTGTGCGTCCCTGGGCAAGTCCCCAGGACTCTGCTCCATTTAATAAGGCAGCAAAATGGAGCTGAGCTGAGCCTAGCATAGGACCTGGCTCACGGTGGGCTGTCAGGTGGCCATGCTCCAAATATGGGCCTGTCATTCCTGAGTCTGGCTGCAACCCCTCAGTATGGAGATGTGGTATGCAGGGCAGATTGGGTTCCAGACCCAGCTCCACCACCATGTGGCCTGTGGGATGGGGGGGGTCCAAGGCAATTCCACTCTCTGAACCTCAGTCTCTCCTTTAATAAAACGCAGAGATCAGACTGAGCCGTCAGCAATGGAAACCCTATGAAACACGTACCAAAACTTACACATCCTATGACAGTGACAGACATGAGCAGTCTATCACAGCACTGACGCCTACTGAATTCAGCCCAGATGTGGCTCAAAATCCCCACACAGCCAGGCCACTGAATGAGAGCTGCAGCCAGAGACCTGACCACAATTCTTCAGCACCTGAATTTCATAGCATTGTGATTCAGGGATGCAGCTGGATGACCCTGAGCCTCAGTTTTATCTTCTGTAAAGTGTCCACACCCAGCAAGGTTGTGAGGATTGAACAAGATCATGCATTCAGAATGGGCTGTCAGCAGTGCAGCTTGTAGGGGCAGTTTTCTGCCACCATCTCCAGAGACTGGGCCCATGGGCCCGCCCCTTGCAGACCTTCAGGCAACATGGGACAGTGTGGTACAGTGGAAAGAGCTTGGGCCTGGATGACAAGTGAAGTAATCAGTCAGAGTGCCAGAAGAGCAATCAGCTCAGTAATCAGGGACAGGTGGACTACTCTGCTCCACCCTCGTCAGGCTTCAGGGACTTCATGGTGTATGCAAGCTGGTGGGAAAGGCTGGGAGACCCTCAGGGTAGGGCCTGGCTTTCTTGGTAAGTCCTCAGTGGAGCTCCACGTCCCCAAGTGCACCCATGTTGGTGGACACATGGCGTCTCCCCTGGCAGAGGCCATGGTATAGGCCGTAGTATCGGGAAGCATGAATCCTGGGTCACAGGGGAGGTGGGGATGACCTCACACCTCCAGACCCTGGGGCCTCACTGCTCCTCCCCACCCTCCCCTCCCAGACCTCACCCTCTCTGGGTCAGCCATTGGCACCGCCTTACCACCCCCAGCCTCCTGCTGGCCTTGCACCCAGCCTGCTTTCTGGCCCAAGATGGACAGGAGGCCTGGTCGGCTAGACTCATAGCCCGACTCACAGGGCGGCTTTGGGACCTGAGGCACTCACCCGGAGATGAGGAGACTCTAGCCCTGACATCCTGACTGAATCTCGGTGTGAGATAGTCTGAAGCAAATCAGCTCTGCTCACTCTCTTGCCCTCACTGAAGTCAGCAGCAGCTTACAACATTCCACAGTGCCCGTACTTCCCATGTGAGTGGGGTCTGACCACCTTCGCTGGCCCCCACAGCTGCACCTGACCTCCCAGCAGGGCCAGCTTCCGGCTGACTCTCAAACTGTCAAATCCACCCACATAGCAGCCTTTGTAAGTGCTGTTCCCCTGCCCAAAACATCTTCCTATCTTGCCTCTGGGTGTACTCCTGCTCTTCCCCCAAGACCCAGCCCAAAGGCCACCTCCTCTCGGAAGCCCCCCCCACTTCCAGCTTCTCCAAGCAGTCAGTCTCAGGCTCCTATGGCCACTTCCCACTCCCACTGACTTGTAATGAGGAATAAGGGATTGATGAGTGGACAAAGGAGGCAGGCAGCTGGGTGGGCACCAGCCAGCCACACCTGGAGGAGGGGAGGGCAACTGGCCTTGGGAAGGATAATAAGTGTAAATGAGGAACAACTACTCCCTGCAACCCTTGGGCAATGAGGACACAGTGTGCTTATTAAAAAATATCCTTTATTGACAAAATAGCTCAGACTTAAAAAAAAAAACCACACCTGCATATCACAACAAGGGGGCCACAGGCAATAATAGCAGGGGTCCCCCAGGGCACATGCGAGACCAATCAGCAGATGTCACAAGACAGCCCCTCCTCTGGGCCACCTCCCCAGTTCCACTCCAGGGCAATGCCCTGTCCTCACACTGACACTATGGGATGAGCTGGATAGCCCCCCACCCAAGGAGGGGCTCTCATTGGTCCCCTCCATTCTCTCTACCCCAGAAAACACTCTCAGCACTCCTCCCATTCTGGCCAGGTTCATCAAAGTGCCAACAGTGCCCTGCTGCTCAGCCCTACCCCCAGCTTGAAGTCAGGCACTCTCCACGGGGAACACTAGGAAACATCCTTCTTGTCCCAATTGTCTGTGTGCCAGCATCTGGGATGGGGGAGATAACCAGGAGGGTGAGGCCCCTGGAGACCTGTCAGTGGGGTGAAGCCACATGGCTGGGTCAGAGGGGGCGAGTAGGCATCCACCCGGGACAGGATCAGTTGTGCATCACAGGGACACATTTGGGGCTTGGAGCCTTGCCTTGCATACCAGTGAGAGGTTCCCCCAGGGATCCACGGGGCCCTTGCTCACCTGCTCCAGCCCTGTACCCTGCCTAGGAGCTCTGTCACTGGCCACAGGATCTCATGTCAGACCATTCCCAGAGTGTGGGTATTTTTAGCTACCTTGGGGAAACAGTCTGCCTGCTTGATGACAAAAGACCTATCCCCCATTGGCCCAAGCCACGAAAAACCCTCTTGGTGTTGCAGGTGAAATGTCAAGAACTTGTCATGCAGCATAATAACTCAAGCCTCTGCGGGCACAGGAACACATTCTCAAAGCAATCCTTTAACTGAAATAGTGGTTCTGTCTGCCACTCCCCACTTCCAGTTTGGGGTAGGAATTCATACACTCCAGGCACAGAACAAAAGTCTACAGGAAGACAGGTGGTGGTAAACACAGAGAAAGGGGATTTTTATATCACCACATAATTACATTTTCTTGTCCTTTAGCGAGTTTCCCCATGGAGCTCAAAGATTTCTGCAGTGCCTTTCATCTCCCTGCAGCAAGTAGGTGGCAAGCTATTGTCGCCCCGGATTTTGCAGGGGGTGAATGCTAGTGATCAGGGATGTCCTGTTGAGGCAGAGGCCAGGCCTCCAGAACCCCCCACCGAGGCATCCACGAGCCCACCCTTCTCCCCAAAAGGTGGAGGTGGGAAACAGTCCACAGTTCTGGCCTTCAAAGGAGCTATGAATCCAAAAGCAGGGGAAAAGGGAAGAAGGGTCCAGAGACAGGGCCTGCACATAAAACCCCACCCAGCGCTTGATGGGGACCACAGGCCATCATTTCTGCCTCCTCCTCAGCAGCAGGCCCTCCTGGGGAGAGTGGAAGGCTGGCTTCCTGCTCTTTACCAGGGAGGTGAGAAGGAAGCAAACTACCACAAGAAAGTGGCCTTCCAGGGAACACAGGGTCCTCGAGGAAGGGAAGCCCACCCATCAGCTGGCAAGGGTCTGGTGTTCTGGGAAGGAGGTGCTGTACCCCAGCCTGGCCTCGGCCACACTCAGGACGGTCCAAGCCTTCTCCATCTGTCTGCGTTCAGGCATGGAAGATGTCCCCCCACAGCCAAGCCAGCAGGGGGAGGCTTCAGCTGGACCCTTTGAACAGCACCCGTGTCCCCATCGCTCCCAGGGGCTCCCAAGATGAGACCTACAGGACCTGGGAAGGGACCAAAAAGCCCCAGGGAAGTGGCCACATAAGACAGGGCAGGAAGCAGAGTGGCCCTGGTGCCACCTGGCACCAATCCCATAAGGGCAGTGGGCAGGCGGCTCACCAGGCCGTCTGGGTCCACTGGCGGCAAAGGATCCTTCGGAAGGCACGGCGGAAGTCCTGGTTGAAGATGGTGTAGATGACAGGGTTCAGCGAGCTGTTGCAGTAACCAATCCAGAAGAAGAACTGGAAAAGGCCATGGGGCACCTTGCAGTGCTGTGGGCAGATGGCACCCAGGCTGTAGCTGAAGAAGAAGGGGAACCAACAGAGCACGAAGACGCCGATGACCACCGCCAGCACAAAGGTGAACCGCTTCTCTCGGGTCAGCTGAGCCCGCCGACGCCACCACTGCCCACCTGCAGCGCCCATGCCCCTGCCCAGCAGCACCTGGCCACGCAGGGTGGCCAGCACCCTGGAGCCCTGTGGCTGCTGCAGGGGTGGGCTGCAAGCTGAGGCAGGGGACGCTGGCAAGACCTGAGGCTCACACTCATCCTCCTCTTCCTCACCAGCTTCCTCCTCTGGAGACACTCCACAAACTCCTTCCTTCGGACCCTGGCCTGCATGGGGAAGGGCAGGCCAGGTGGGTGGCAAGGTAGGGCTCCCAGAATCTTCAAGGGTCTCCCCCTGCTCCTTCTTCCCATTGGGCTTGGAGTGTCCATTGGCCTCTCCGGAAGCAGCCTGATGAGAGGTCAGGGTTGACAGTTTGGCTGATGCTCCCCTAGGGACCCGGCGGTGCTGCTTAGACTCACCCTCCCCAGGGCCCCCCTTGGCCCTGGGACCTCTGCGGTGGCTGCGTTTGGCGATCAGGTAGATGCGCAGGTACACGAGGATCATGATGAGGCAGGGTGCAAAGAAGGACCCGATGCTGGAGGCCAGGATGTACCAGGCCTCTTGGTTGAGCTTGCACTGTGGGCGCCCGCGGGGCTGGGGGCCGGGGTCATCCTTATAGACGAGGGGCGGCAGCGAGATGACAGCTGCGATGAGCCACACGGTGAGGATGATGCACTTGATGCGGCGCGGGGTGCGCTTGGAGTTGTACTCCAGAGCGCGGCTCACGGCCCAATAGCGGTCCAGGCTGATGGCGCACAGGTGCACGATGGACGAGGTACAGAAGAGCACGTCGAGTGCCAGGTACAACTCGCACCAAGTGCGCCGGAAGTACCAGTAGCCTAGCAGCTCATTGGCCAGCGAAAAAGGGATGATGAGCGTGGCCACCAGGATATCAGCTGCGGCCAACGACACCAGGAACAGGTTCTGCGGGGCACGGAGCGAGCGACTCGTCAACACCGCCAGGATGACCAGTGCGTTGCCGAAGATGGTGAAGAGAATGAGGAAGGTGATGACCGCAGCGATGGCAGCTGTGGCCTGCACCGAGTAGGGCTCCTGGTGGTCCATGGCGGGGCCGGACGCGGCCAGATGCGGCCCTGCTCGCCCAGCGCGAGCACAGCCGGCGACAGCGATGTACCACCCAGCGCGGCTAGACGATGGGGTCGCACCCCGGGCGGCGCTGAGGGCGCTGGAGCCCCATGGCCAGGTCGAGCGAGACCCAGGAGGTTGGGGAACGCCCGGGGCCAGCCACCGCTCTCCTACATCCTATTCCACCAGCGTCCGGCGTCCCGGCCGTCTGCCCCAGAGAAGTTTTCCAAGTTGTCCCACTGCCGTCCCCGCCCCGCTCGGGACCGGGAAAAGCTGCTCCCTCTCCCCTCGAGGCAGTTGGACGCACGCGGGGGCGCAGGGCCCTCAGGCCACCGGGGGCGCGTCGCCCTTTCTCGGAGGAGGCGCGGAGGCTCCGGCCCGGAGCAGCGCCTGCAGGCAGCCCGCCACCGCAGGGGATTGGGGAGCTGAGCCGCGGCTGCAGCAGGGAGGAGACTGGAGGCGGGAGCAGGAGGCGGGGCGGGCGCTGGGCGGTGCGGGTGCAGGGCGTGCGCGGGAAGGGCAGCAAGCCACGGCTGGGTGGAGGGGCGCCGCACTGAGGACAAGGGCCTGCAGCCTCCCCGCGCCCCACCTCCGCCCCAGCGCCCCCATCCCTTTCCCCAGCCTCGGTGCGCGGGGATTCAAGGGGCCCCACATCTGGGGCCTTAGGGATGCTGGGAAGGATGCTAGCGAGAGAGGAATGGTGAGTGGGCGCGGGGATCAGGGACGCTGCGCGGGTGAGGCCGCGGGCACGGAGGGGGACCTCTCCCCTGCAGACTGCGGGGCTGGGGCTGAGCCCCCGAGGTTAGAATGGTGGGCGCGAGTGGATCGCTGCTCCCGTCGCCCAAGAACCCCAAGGAGGGGGGGGGTGTTGGGAGCCGGAGCACAATAAACCACAACCATACCAGCGTCCGAGAAGAAAGAAGCCAAGCGGAGGGGGTGGCGGAGGGGGGAGACTGCCTCGAACCCCGTCCCCAAATGCATTCTCGCCCGAACTGGGGCCCGTCGGGCCTGCGGAGACCTGGGAAGTGCGCTTGGCCAGACGACGAGCGCCCCCTGCCGCCGCCCGCGATCCGCGGAAACACCGCGTCCTCGCCGGGACCCTGGCGCCTGAAATACTCCAGGTCGGTGAGGCAGGTGAGTGCTCGGAGATTTATGGCTTCAGCTGACCTGTTTCTCCTGCAGCTGCCTTGGTTTCCTCCATTAAGGGCAAAGAGGTAAGAGGAAAGCTTTGTTGGTCTCAAATCTCAGAAGAACGGAGACGCAGGCAAGGGTTTGTTTGGGGTAAGTGGGGCGCTGGGTAAACTCAACCTCCTGACCAATAGGAAGAGGACATCTCCTAGCGCAGAGCAAGACCTAGTGGGGGGTCTCAGGGGAAAAGCGGGTCTCAGAGGCAGCTGTGAGGGAGGAGCTTCCCTTGCTCCTTCTCCAGTCCCGCTGACTGTCCACATGCACGCTGCGCGCCCCTCTTAGGTGGCGGTAGGAAGAGTTGGGGTAAGAAATTTCCCACTAAGCACACACCCCGCCCTTCCCCATCCTGGCATCGAAGAGTTGCGGAGCCACGACTGTCCCTCAGGCACCCTGTCCCTACCCACTGTCCCTATGGCCACTGCCACCAGGGCCAGCCTGGGCAGCCTCAGGGGCGACTTATTTCCCTGCCGCTTCTGGAGCCCCTCATGCTATCACCCCAGCATAGAGGCTGGCCTTGTATTTCTAGTGCACAGCTCTGCACGACATCCTCTGTGTAAATGAGCATCAATCCGCCTAGAAAAGTAGGGCTGCGCCACAGGACCTGCCTTAAGCCAGCGTACCCACTGGACCTTTCTTCCTGCCACCTCCATCCTCGTTGGAGCAGGGAGCACGACCTCTCTCCACGCCCACAGACAATGACTCTTCCCTACCCAGGCTTAGATGGGTGATACCTCAGACCCCTCAGCGACACGGTGCAGGCGAGGAGGGGTGTTCCTCCTTGATCCCTGGCTGTCCCTGCCTCCTACCAGCCTACCCAGCCCCTCTGTTAGAAGAGAGTGTCAGCTGAGTGAATCCAGTTGCCTAGGCTAGGTTCAGAGGGGGCAGCCAACCTCTCTTGCCCCCTCCAGAGGCAGGTTTTATGGATGCATCTTCCCCACTCACTGGACTGGGTTGGGCAGGGAGTGGACCCATAGTTGCCAGGGCTGGAGAGGTCTCAGTAACCCCTTCCTTGAGGAAGCATGGAGGGGTGGCCATTGGAGCCTGGGGAGCAGCCACTTTAGCAAATTCCTGCTTGTCCTTGTTCCCTGGTCATGCAGTCTGAGCGCCCTGGCCACCCAAACAGGCTTGAAAAGAACCATTATTTCACCCTCTCCAATCATACTCAGGGTGGGGGCCTAGTGATGTTTCCAGCATCAGCCTTTGTCTCCCACCCATTTTCTTTAAAAGGCCAGGCGTCCAGGACTCTGCAGGAACTGAGGCTAGAGCTGCTCTACTCCCTCCCCTGCCCCATCCTCCCCACCCTGCAAGTCCCCACTGAGGGGTTCTCACCTGGGCCTTCCCTGAAGGGGCAGCTCCTGCTCTACCCAGCACCAGGCCCTGCTGGGCACCAGCCCAGGAGGGGACAGCCAGGGGCAGTCTGCAAGCACCCGTGAGGCTCAGTCACTGCCCCAGGCTCTGTGTCACCTGATGCCATCTCCCAGCCACACCCCCCCCAGGACATGCCTCTGGTTTTGGGGGTGGTGGGGGCCATTACATAACCGGATACCAGCTCCTCTCCACAGCTCACCATCTCCCTACACACCTTCCGGCTGCCTGCCCCACCCAGCCCTGTCTGAATCAGAGTCCAGGGCTTGCTTCAAGTAGATCCGACTTTTAACAGTCACCCCATTCTGCCAGGACTGCCTGAGTTTAGTCCCAGACCTACAACCAGAGCATACGCAGCCACGTGTGCCAAGAGAGGAGGCAGTGACAGGCACTGGCCCCACCAGGCCACATTTTGGCCCCTGGACATGCCCTGAGCTCCCCTGGCTCCAGTCCTTTCTAGCTGCTGTTTGCTCTTCCAGAAACACCCTCCTCGCCCTTCCTTCTGTGCTTGGTGGGCCCCACTCTCTCTTCAAGTTCCACTCACCTGTCAGCGCCCTCTCAGGCAGAGGGAGCTATCCTGTTCTCCACATTCCCTGACTCTGCACACAGCACCACTGTCCCTTCTCTGTCCCCAATACCTGGCTGAGATTGGTGAATGGTGAGGGGCAGCAGCACAGGTGTCAATGGATGGATAACATACACAGGAGCCTTTCTCAGGTAGTGCCCAAATAATGGTGCCCTCAAGGGATATCCTTGTAAAAGGGGCACATGAGGGAAAAGTGACCTAGTATCATCTTTCCCAAAGAAAGGATACAGTTGTCCTATCCCTGGTTGTGAGAGTGAGGCAAAGGCTGCGCCATTTTAGCCAGAAGCCCTGGAGCCAGTTCTTCTGCAGGCCTGACAGATGAGACTGGCCCCAGGTCCTGCTGGGCCAGGGCTCCAGCAGCTCAGAGCCCACCAGGCTGGTCCCCAACAGGACTTCACCCCTAGGCTGTCTGTCCCCTGAAGCCCCAGCCGCTGAAGTCCCTGGGACCCTTCCTCCCAGACAACTCTGTATGCCCCAACCTCCCCGCTTCCCGGACCCTCGAGCCTTGCTCTCTAATGTCAGTCAGTCATCTTCTCTCCCTCCATCACACTTGCCTGACAAACCCCAGCCCTGGACAGAACTAAATCATCCACCACTCTCTCTCTCTGCCTCTGACCAGTGGCTGCCTTTTCTGGAGCAGAACACTCACTCTATCGACGGGCCTCACTTTCAACTCCTGACCACAAGTCTGCAGACTTTCTTAGAGCTTGGTTCCCTCTCTTCAGAATCGGCTTCCCTTTCACTGTCCTCTCCCTGCCTCTCAGCCCCCAGGCCATCAGACAGGATCTTCTCCCTGCTGGCACCTGCATCTGAGCCCCATGTCCCTCATAGGGCAAGTCCTTTGGGTGTGTCCCAGACCCCAAGCCCTCTCATGTCCCCAGCCCCCTGCTCCTTCCATTATCCCCTCTCCAGTGGTCACTCTGCAGGGCAGCCCACTCCTTAGGAAGCCCTGTCTGCCCCCTGCAGCTGCCACCTTCTCCAACTGTTTGCTGCCATGTCACTGTCTCTAGTCCCTCACATTCTCTCTTTACCCCTCCGCTGAATCTTCTCCTGGTCTGTTATCCATGACCCCATGCCACTCCCTGCCCTTGGAACTCTGCAGGTTCTGCTCCCTCCTTACTGGGCACCCCTTCTCAGTCCCCTTTTCTTCTCCCAAACTCTAAATCGGTAATTTTCACTGAGACCAGTTTTTGCTCTTTCCCCTGCAAGGGACATTTGGCAATGTCTGGAGACATTTTTTACTGTCACAGCAGGGGGAAGGCGGTCGCTACTGGCATCTGGTCAGTAGAGGGCTAAGACGCTGCTGAGCATCTTACAACATACAGGACAGCCCCACGCAGCAAAGAATTATCTGGCACATACGCTAATGATGCTGAGACTGAGGAACCCCATGCTCAGAGACACAGCACCAGGTTCATCCCTGGGACCCTTTCCTTCTGTACCAGAACTCTTGCTGGGTGATTACATCTTGCCCCACGACGGCGCCCACCTCAGCAGTGCTGGTGACTCCCCAACATGCCCCGAACTCCAGGCTCATTCACCCCACACTCCCTGACCCACCCACTCATTCCAAGTCCAACAGCCTCAGATTTAGCATAACCACTCTCCTGAGCCCTGCCACTCTGCTCCGTTCTCAGTGCTCTAAGTGGTCCTCTCGCCCCTGCATCCAGTCACAGGCGTGGTTGCCCCAACCTCCAGAATGCACAGCCCCCACTCCTCCTCTGGAAATGGGTATGACCAGCTGAGGGCCCACCCAGGGTGGGTGTTGGGGGGTGGGGATGGGTTGAGGAGGGTGGTAATCGTAATCAGCACAGCCCAGAGTCCAAATCCTGGAACAAGTACCCCACTTTATTTCTGTCTCCCCCCAAACACCTGAGGCCTCACTGGGACGGCGCTGGGGCTGGGGCTCCTGCTCCCTCCCACCCCTGGCTACAGAACACTGCAGCCAGACCAGGGCTCCTGGCCTGCTCACTGGCGCCCCGGGAAGTTCTTCACTCTTGGAACAGCCCTCACAGAGGAGGCCAGCTAGTGAGGAGGAGGAGTGGAGCTTGGTTGAAGGAGGACAAACAGGGTAACCACCCCCTACCCCTGTCCACCTTCCAGCGCCTCCTCTGGCCAAGTCCCGGGAGGTGGGGGGTGTCGGGGAAAGTGAGGGGTACTGGGAGAGGTTGGGGGTACAGGCAGGGCAGGGAACAAGGCTCCTGGAAATAGAACGCAGGTGGAGAGGAGCTCCAGGTCTTGCATTCAGGATCCTCACGAGTTCCCCAGTGTGTAGTCTTAGAGCGCCTCCAGCTCCCCCTCACGTCCCATGGGGGGCACCTGCTGGCCCTGGAGCCTTCCTGCACTGCAGGGGAGGGAGCGGGGCTCCTGGAGAGCAGGACTGGGGGTTGCAGATGCAGGCCAGTGTTCCCAGGATCCCAGCCACAGGTGTCCCCCCAAGTCCTCGCCTGAGGGAGAGGTGGGGGCAGTACTGTTATTCTATGCTGGGGGGCTGGGCCTCAGCTACAGGACTTCAGTCTTCAAGGCTGGAACCTTCTTCCTCACCCTTCCAGACCCAGTCTCTGGAGCCTGGAGAATGTCACCTCCCAATCTCAACATCCATAACAGCAGACAGAGCCAGGTATCTCCAACAGGCCTGCCTCCTCCTCGACAGACCTAGAAGGCCCCTCCATCCCCAGGAGCCCTTGGGGGAACTGATGGGGAAGGACAGGGCAGAGGGGGAGGCCAGACTGGCGCTGGAAGACAGGGATGTTGCCCAGAGGGGCCAAGGTTTACAAGACCCAGCTGCTCTGGTGACAGGACACACTCCCCACTTAGGGACAGAAGCCACAGGCTCCACCTCTAGGCATCCCCCTGAAGTGACCCAGAACTAGGTCCCCCCAGGCAGCCTGGAGAGGTACTGGCTGGTCTTCTGCTTCTAGAGATGGGGCTGGGGGTACAGTTGGCACTGGGGCCGACTGTGACTGCTCCAGGGCAAGACCAGGAGCACCTGTGCCTGGCCTTGAGCTTGGGGAGGAGGCTGGGGCCTGAGGCTGCTTTGCAGAGGCCTCCACACTGAACTTCTCCAGGGCAGGGGGCTCCCGCCCCTGTGGGCTCTCTGCAGCCCTGGAGTCACTGGGGTCAGGGCCCCTGGACTCTGCCAATAACGCCTCCAACAGCCGCTGCAGATGTGGTCGAGAGGCAGGAGGGGGGCTCCCGCCCTTGCCATCGGCCTGGAACCCTGGAGCAGGAAAGAGTGGGTCATGTTCCGCAACCACGGTGGGAGCGTGTGGCTAGCTGTGGAGGGCTAGGGCCGCCCTCAGCTCCATGCACAGGGTAAAGGGCTGCTCTCCTGATCGCATGACCTGCCATGACCCTGCTGAGCCACTGCCCACTACCTTTTAGACGCTTTCGAGTTTTTCCATTTACATGCAAGTCTTATATACCCCTGGAATTTATTTGTGCATGATGTGAGTTAGGAATCTGTTTTTTCTTAAATGGATAACTAGTTGCCTTGGTTAGCCCCTACTGATCTTGCTCTGCTCACCTCTGCCACCTCATCTCCCACTACGTCACCTCCATCAACATTACCTTAGTACCAGAACCTCTCCAGGTTCCTCAAATCACTCTGCCCCCATCACTCACCTCTCCCATGGGGGCCAGGGCCGCTCGGGCTGCATTCATAAAGCCAGAGGACCCGTGTAATGTCCGAGGTGCTCAGGTTCCATCGCTGGCCGATGTGGTCACTGGGGGCCCAGAGCGGTGTGATGGTGGGCAGCCCGCGCCGGCTGAAGGCAAGCCTGGAACCCAGCAGGCAGGGGTCTGAGTCCAGATCACAGCAGGGCTGGCCAGGCAGTGCAGAAGGAGGAAGAAAAGGAAAAGGCCTCACCTCCCATAGTGCATTATGGATGCATAGTCATAGGGTACCAGCATGTTGCTGCTCCGAGATTTGATGAAGTTGATTTCAAAGCCTGAAAAAGTACTTGTTGATGGGGAAAGAGGGCAGGTAGATAGGGGGATAGGGGGCTTCTGGGAACTTACAGATACCTAAGCTGAGGGGTCCAAAACTACAACCAAATGTGCTTCCCTCTACCCCCCGCCTACCCACCACCACTGGTCCCTGGTTCCTGTCTCCTTCCTTCCTTCACTGCCTACTGCCTTCTGCCCTGGGAGGGGTCCAGACCTGTACCAGGTAATGTGATATCACAGGGACCTCACAGCTTGCCTACCATTGCCTCCTAAGCATTCTTTCTACCTTTCCTCCTTCTCCTCCTCCTCTCAAGCTCACCTTGTATGAGACCTGTCTGTATAATCTACAGCATCCACAAACTCACCCACTCTCAGAGGGTCTTGTACACCCCCTGCCAGCGAGATGCAGTGCCTACTCCTCACCCACCTCCCACCTGTTCTTCCTGCTTTGGGCCAATAGCACCCACGCCCAGGTTCGGAGTCAGCACTGCCCCGCTGGCCAGAGCACCCACTTCTCCCTGTCACCTGGGTGCTCCAGGCCTGGGAGGGCAAGCTTCCCTCCCCAGACGTCTCTCCTGCCCTTTAGAAAGACTCTGAAAGAAGAGCTGCAGCCTCTGGATTGCTCCCCAATCCCCCCAACACCCCCAAGCCCAGCCACTTCCACACCCTCCCCCATGGTCACCCTCCCTTGCTCACCAGCTGCCCCTTCACCACCAATCAAATGGCATTCCATCACAACCTGAAATACCTGCCCCTAGAGACTGCTTATTTCTTCCTTTTAAAAACGCTTGGGCCGGCCGAGTGGCGCGATGGTTAAGAACTCGCTTGGGATGCCAGAAGGCCCCGGTTCGGATCCCACATATGAGGGCCAGTGACGCTGCCCCTCTACAGCTAAGATGCTGAACAACAGCTCAACCTGGAGCTGGGCTGCTATGAGTCGCCGGCGACAGCGTAGGCTGCAGTCCCTGTGGCAGTGGGTTGCCATGGGCTACCGTGTGTAGCCAGCAGCCAGCGTGAGTGGCCAGCAGCCACAGTGAGCGGCCGTCCAGAAGCCGGCGACTGATCTGCCTCGCCTAGGAAGAGCGCAATGATGGTGCCAACTTGGGCCAGTGAAGCAACATCCTCCACAACTAGACTGAAGAACAAAACGACAGCAACTTGTCTGTTCCCCTTCCCCCAATTCCCCAGCACTGTTCCCAACCCCCCAATTCCCAAATAAAAAAAAAATCTTAAAAAAAATAAAAATAAAAATAAAAACGCTTATGTTGTTCAACGTAATTTGGAATAGGCAATATATTCATCTGGTTCCAAAAATCAAAAGCTTAAGATACATAGTAAGTCTCCCACTCCATCCCCCTTCTGAGACCCCACTTCCCCACTCCACAGTTAATTACTATTATTAGTTTGTGTATCCTAGCAGAGTCTGTTCTGTATATATTAAATATAAATATCTTCTCATTTTTTTCCATTCTCAAGCAATTTTTCCCCATTACAGTAGCAGGTGTTTTAACCTATTTTATTGTTTAAGAAACAGCTCTTGAATTTGTTAGTGCTGTTTGTTTCCTAACTCATTAATTTCTGCTTTTACCTTCATTAGCTCCCTCCTGCTTTCCTTTATTTTTTCTTAAATAGAACAAAGTAAACATTTCGATCCAAGTTAAGTCTACACATTTTCCCTGAGCCTTGCTTTAGCTGTGAACCATTGGTTCTAATGTGTTTTCATAATTTTTTTTTAATTCCTGCAATTTCTTTAATCCCAGAGCTAAGAGAAAAGTTTGCTGTTTGGTTTTTAACTTTAATTTCCAAGTGGAAGAAATTTGGGGGTTTGATTTGTTATTTCTACTTTCTATTTTACATCATGATCAAAACATTTGTATTAACTCCACTTTTTTCAAATTGCAAGTTTTTATGCTGTCACATGGTAAACTTTCATAAGTATTCTATGAACACTCGGAAGGATTATAATCTGTTTTCAGGGTACAGAGTTACTATCATCACTCACACACACACACACACACACACACACACACACACACACACACTTCCCTAGACTAATTCTAACCTCCAATCTCCATTCCCCATGTAAGGGGCTATCCCTGTCGCCCCAGGGCACCCCTTCTCTGGGGCTCCATGATGCTGGTCTCTTATCTCAGACACCCACAGCAGCAGCGGCCGAGGAGGTCCTCACACCAGAAGCCCTCCACTTGCAGGAAGCCTTCCAGGTCCTCCCCTCCGCTTCCACACCCCAAACCAAACTCCTGACCATGCACCTCCTCCACTCCCCACCCTCACAAAGCAGTTGTCTCTATTCCTCTTACCTCCTGAATCAGGCTGTCCCCCCATGAGGGCAGGGTCCCCCCAGGACCAGGATCAAACCCCCTGCACTCAGCACCATTCCCAGAACACAGTTGCTCCTCACTGGCATCTGGTACAGTGACTCACTCCCCAGACCAGCTTCTCCATGCGTCCTCCATCCCACGTGCCCACCAGTGCCCCCGTCACAGGCACTGAGCCCCTACAGCACTGCCCTCTGCTGCCTGCCTCTCACACTGGGCGCATGCAGCCCACTACCTCCAGGCCTCTGCTGGGCTCAGGCCCTGCAGCCAGAACACTCCCACCCACCCACACAGTGGTCTCACCCCCACCCACACAGTGGTGTCCAGCGCATGACCCTAGGGTCCTAGGATACCACCAACCCATCCTCAGGGTAACCAACAACGTCCATGAGAAGTGATGCCCCTGCCCAGGGTGACTTCCGGTGGACAGGTGGAGGCTTAGAGCCCAGAGCAGCAGCATCCAGGCCACTTCCCAGGTCTCAGAGAGCAGGGGCACCCCACCTACCCCATGGGAGACAGGCAGATGGTAGGAGAAGATGGACAACTTCCAAAAGCCAGGCACCTCCTCGGGCCTGGCCCACATGTGTTGCCCTCTCTCCATGGACTCCCAGGCCCAGCCTGGCCTGTGCACCACCTGGCTTACCTGGGAGGATCTCGTTCCAGTTGACATGGATATAGTTGTCACGGTCAGCCCGTGCATGCTCATGCCAGAAGCCAAGCACATGCATGAGCTCATGCAGGACGATGCCCATGCCCTTCTGGAGACAGGTGGGTGCCAGAGACACCACCTGCATCCCTCCACTGCGCCCCACACCAGAGAAGCACCTGCGGGGCCATGATAGGGAGCCAGGTGGGGAGTGGCCTAGAGCAAGCCAGGGCAGGCCCAGCCCCTCCCCTCCCAAGGATGGATGAGACCAACATGTGATCACCTCCCTGGACTCTAGTCCCAGGCTTGTTGTCCCCAAGTCCCTTCACTGCCTGGCCTTCTGGAAAATGGGTGTACTGCAGCCCTATTACCAGCCTGGGCTGCAAGGAGGAGGTGAGAGCTGACATTACCTAGTTAACACAAGAAGCTCTTTAAGTGAAAGTACCCCCAGGGCAGACCTGAATCAAAGCTGTCATGCATATTAGCTTAGGCCCCTGAGAATCTAGGAAGCAGGTATGGCATCCCCTTCATTTCAGAGAGAAAGCAGAAGAGGCTCAAAAGTTAAGGGACTGACCCAGAGTCAGGTGGCTCCTGCATTGTGGAACCCAGACCCGAGGCCAGGTCTGTCCCGCCACACCTGCACTCACCCACCAGGTCATGAGGTCTCCTGGAGATGAGGGCTTCATAAAGGAGGGTCACACACCTAACTACCCCCTCCCTCTCCCCACTCCCGCTCCCGCTCCCTGCCCTACCTTCTGGCCCAAGGGCCATCTCATGTCAAGCAAGTCACTCATAGTGAGCAAGGGGATTTGGACTGGGGCAGATTGGCAAGAGAAATCGGTTTTAGACAATGGCTTAGGTCATTCCAGGCTGAACCCAGAAAAAGCTGAGGAGCTCACCCTGCACATGCCTGCACACACCCAGGAGCACTCACCCAGACATGGGGATGATGGAGATGAAGTCTCTCTGGCCATGGTAGGCAACAAACCTGATGCACGTGAAGCGTTCAAACTCAGCAAATGCCTGCAGGATGACCTGGCGGCTGGGCTCATCTGGGGAAGGGACACCCTGCTGATGCCCCAGCCAAGCCCCTGAGCCCTTGTATGCCCTGGAAGTCTGCATGTGGGGCGGGAACTGAGCTTCAAATCACTCCCAACGTGGAGTGCCAAGAAAGGGCAGCATGATCATGTTGGGGGAAGACAGCTAGGCTCCAGACAGACCCTGGCTGTGGGACCTTGGATAGGTCATGCCCCCTGGAACCTTTGGTCTCAGAATGGATCAGTTAGTCCCTAGACGTACCTTCCCATCAGCTCTTCCAGGATCTTAACCCTCCCCGCTCAAAAGGCCCTTAGAATAAAAGGGCTTCTGTGTCTGAGTTTTTTTGTTTATTTTGTTAATTCATTTGTTACTTTTTGTTTTGTATCCCACATTAGTAAAATCGTATGGTTTTTGTCCTTTTCCTTCTGACTTATTTCACTGAGCAGGATACTCTCAAGATCCATCCATGTTGTTGTAAAGTTCACTGTCGTCTTTTTCATAGTTTAGTATTACATTGTAAATATGTACCACATCTCCTTTATTTTAAAAAAGGGGGGGCTTAGGAGGCCAATGCCTCATCCATTAGGCCACTAGAGCTTGCTCAAGAGTGAGAGCTCTGAGCAACAGCGGTTTGAGTCCCAGCCTAGCTGAGCTGCCAACAGGTGGCAGGATGGCTCAGCTAAAAAAGAATAATAAATAAGGGGGGGCTGCTGGTGGAAGGGCTCTCTGGGTGGTGCTGGTGGAGGGGGTGTGGGGAAGTAGAGGAAGAGGGAAAAACCTAGAGAGGAGCATAGGCTGCAAGGTGAACAGGGGTGGGGGGGCGAGGCCGCAGAGCCAGGCTCCCAGTGCTCACTTACCATATTTGCTGGAGAGTAGGAAGGGGATCTCCACAACACCCCCATTTTTGGGCCACTTGTTGCTGGTAGCTGACAACAGGCGGAAGGGACTCTGAGAAGAGAGGGCAGAGTTCAAGCCAGCCACGCTTCCTGCCACCGAGGGTGCCACACCTTGGGCTACCCTGAAGATATGAATGGCAGGCCCCACGCATGTGAGGGTCAGGAGACCATTAGGAATGGCGTAGAAGCTGGAAAGTCAGCAATGTGAATTACGGTGCACAGCACAAGCTTTTGTGCTGCATAACACAGAATTGCGACTTGACTCTATGAAGCCGATAAACTAAACACTGGTCCCTATGTGCTGGCCAGAGTCCCAGCGCCTCAGGAGGACTAGTTCAGAAGTGCTCAGAGCCCCCGTGGCAGCCCCTGCCCAGAGCACAGCAGCATCAGAGCACCCTGAATGTGCGGTGGAAAGCTGATGGGAGCAGGGTCATCATGGCCTGATTGTAAGGCAACACCCCTGGCCATGACAGCTCCTTTATGCTGTCTCCCACCGACCAAAACCCTTTGAAGCACAGGCTTCACTTCACCTGGCATGTCCTGCCCCACCGGCCAAAGGCTTTATCGGATTCTGATCTTACCCCCAAACTTGCCGGGTAATGGGGAGTAGGGGTGTCGCTCTGGCCTGTCTGCCTTGCCTTGACCCTAGGGCTCCGCCCAGCCTCACGCTGCACCATCCCTGGGCGGCCTCCAAACCATAGAACAGCCTTGCTGTCACCAGGTCTCTGTCCTGTTCTAGAGCCTTCTGCTGTCCCTAGTCTCCTAAAAGACAGCGCTGCTCTCCTGAACACAGTGTGTTCCCTTTTCCACTGGCAAGTTGCCCCGATTCCCATCCAGCCTGCTCCCTTTCTGACCCTGCCCTCCATCCCTGCCACCCATCTGCATTACTCCTGGTTCTGTCCTCCCCAGGCCAGCTGCCCTTGCCCTCCCCCACCCCCATGATGTTCAGCACTAACACCTCCCTCCAGCCCACCCCACTGCCCTGCCGACCTGTGCTTCTCTCCCTTCATCCCAATACCTCATGAGCACCCCCCTGCACAGGGTACCTAGCTGGCTCAAAGCGCCTCCTTCAGGAAGTACTGCCAGGCCACCACTCTAGATGTTACCCTCCCTTAGCCCTCAGGCTGGCTATTCCTAATAGAACATTCACTCTGACTTTGCAAGAAGAGGTGTCTGTCTATGAAGCTATGAGTAACAAGGAGGGATCCCTCCCAGGTCACACCCCATGACACCTGGTGGGTGGGAGGGGCTCAAAGGCCCCAACCACTATCTGTGAGGTTATTTACACCCACTCACTCACAGGCCGGAGGATATCCCCTTCCAGGAGGAAGCTGCTCTCTGGGGTTTCCTCAGGGATGAGCCCTGGTAAGAAAGGGAGGGATATGGGTGGGCTCAGGTCCTCACAACACAAGCTGTCAGGAAGGCCCAGCAGAGGCCCTGGCTGCTAGGCCAGGCAACCCCTGCATCTGGAGCCAAAGCTCCCCTGGGCACTGAGGCTGTGTGGCCTCGCGCGAGTCACACGGTCTGCTGAGCCCCAGGCTAAAATGTGTGATGCTTCTCAGCCAGACCACACCCTCCCTTTGCTCAAACACAGTCCAGTGCTCCCATGGCCCACACAATCTCATCCCAACTCCTGCCTCTTGTGTTGGGAGCAGCCTTTCTTCCAGCTTTTTCTTCCTTCATCCTCCACCCAGGCCCAAGCCACACTCATCAGAACACCGCCCCTCCCTCCCCGCCGCCCCTCTGTGTGGTATTCAGGACCCTTGCAGCGGCAGGTGACAGAAATTCCAACTTGCCCCAAGTAGGAGAAGGTTGAACACTGGTTCCCAGGAGCCTGGCTCACACCCCCACCCCCATCTCGGCTTCTCTCCCCTCCTCCCTCCAACCCCTGCCATAGCTGCAGCCCTTCTCCTCAGCCTCTTCCCTAAGGTCTCAGCCCCATGAGGAATCTGGGAAGAGGGTCTTACACCAGCAGGTGCCTGAGGTTGGGGCCTTGGAAGCAGAGCCTGAGGCAGGAGGCATGTGGAAGTGATTTCTGAGGGATTAAGGAAAGCTGGAGAGTGCCTGAGAAGAGCTGGACCCAGCTGGGGGGCAGCCTCAACCTGCTTCCATGGGAGCTACAGGCCCCCATGGCACTGCAGACTTGTCCCACCTTGAGGCAGGGGCCAGGCCCAGGTCCCCATGAGTCACTGCGGTCCCCTGGGCAGGGAGCAAGCAGCTTCCAAGTATCCCTGGCCTAGGACCTTCAGCTGGGAGGCGTCTGCAGCCAATATTCTCCGCAGCTGGGACGGGATGCTTCAACTGACTGACAGCTGCTACAGGAACCTCACCAATATGTAATTGTTAGGTACCCAGCAGCAGTGGCTGAGAGGGTCTCCACGGCATCTGAAGGAAGCCTCTGATTGGGTCTGGCTACCCCCAGGCAGGTACGTTGACCAGGAGGCACCCTGCCCTGCTCCATCTCAGCAGAGCTGGGTCTCCAGGGTGGCTCATAGAGAAAGAAGGGGGACAGATCCTATGGTGGCTACTACATCTGCAAGAGACCCATCCTTCCAGGGCAAGGTCACCCCATTCCCCCAAGGCTTCCACTCCAATAATGAACCCCAGTTCTGCCAGCATGGTCCCAGAGCATCTACACATTCTATTTTCCACCTGAGACCACCCTTAGAGATGCCCTGAGCCTTGTGCTTCTTTGGGTCTGTACCCCCAGTTCGTCCCCTCCCACCTGAACCAGGTAGCTGACATGTTTTCAAGCGGCCATCAATGACAGAGCTCAACACCAGACGTGGAGAGTCCCAGGGACCCATGCTTTTATCAGGCCATTTAGAAAAACCTATGCTTTCCCCCACTCCTATAAAAGTAACAACCCGGTAAAGATACAGAAAGACTTGGGAGAAGCTGAGGGAAGAACCACTGCTCACTAATGCCCACAAGTAAGCTCCATGTTTCCTCTCAGCTTCTTCTGCCCATCTGAGCACTCAACACAGTTCTCACCCCATCACATGGGCATTGTCATACGCCACCACCCCACGACAAGACATGGCACCCTCACCTTGGTTAATCGCAGGGATGTCCTTGTCCCAAGACATCTGGGTCTCCTCAGGGGTGAGGCCTCCTGAGAAGCTGCTCCCACAGGCTCCTGAGCAGCTGGAGGGTGCTCCTAGGATCCAGCCTGGCCCAGACACACAGGGCCCGAAGTGCCACCATTGGTGAGAGGACCACAGGACACGGGGTGGGGGTGGGGTCAGACCACAAGACCCAGGCCCTTCACTAAGGGAGGCCACCTGCAAGGGGTACTGGGAGCCTCCCTGGCCGCCCCGCCAGCCCCCCCTGGTGCTGAGGCCAAGACCGCACTGAGGAAGGGGATCCAAAAGGCAGCCCTGAGCTCTGAGGATCTGTGTCTGAGGAAAGGGGGGCGGCAGGAAGGAGCGGCAGGGACAGGCCTCAGGCTCCAACACTGATGGCAGGTGCAGGCCAGCCTCAGACCCTGCCCCACAGCCCCCTTCTCAGCTTAGGCTGAGGCAACCGGTCTCAGCCTGGGGAAGCTTGGTCTGTCCAGCAGAACAAGGAGCCTGGAGTGCCACACCTGCCATCTCCTGCCAGGCAGGCCCTCTGCTCCCTGGGGGCCTCCCCTTGGGGGCCCCAGGAGCTGATTCTAGGAACACTCCTGGAGAGCCCATTTTTGAACCATTCAGACCAATTCAGAGAGAGCACTGCAACCTGGAGTCAAAACAGGAAGGTGAGGCAACCGCTTACCTGGCAGAGAGAACAGACCCAGCAGCCATGGCCAGAGGCCTCCCATGCTTGTGCTGTCTATGGTGGGCCGGCTAGCCAGTCAGCCAGCAGGAGCTGGAATCCTGGCAGGAGGAGGCAGCCTAACTAAGGAGTTAGAATCACTCTTCCTTAAATAGCAGCTTCTCCAGCCCCCACCTGTAGCCCCTCCCCAACTAACTCCACCTGCAGCCCTGCCCACTCCGGCCAGTGTTCCTCACCCCCAGCCCAGGCCCAAGCCTTCTGGACCCCTGGTCAGATCCTTCCTGGCCTGGCTAAAGTGGGTGAGCAGGTGGGGAGAAATGGGGCACAAGGCACCCTGGGGCAGGTAGTCCACTGCAGTGGGGGTTGGGTGCCTCTTCTGAGTTCCCCTCCCACCACCAGGGGGCAGAGAAACATCACAGAAGGCCAAGCCCTGGAGGGACCTCATCCTCCAACTGGGGAGACCCCCTTCCTGACCCAACCTGTGCTCAGATGCAAGGGTAGAGGGGAAGCCTCCTGAGATTCTGAGGTGCACCACCCTGCCCCCCCCGTCCCCCCCCAGTCTACCTGTGGAAGAAAGGTCACTACATTGATATAAGCTTTTATTTTCATATATATAAAGTAGACAAGTGCGGGATTCAGTGAAAGTTCACCAGCTGAACGCCAGGTACAACCAACGTCCCAGAGCAGCCTGCCATGGGAAGGGGGAACTCTTGGATACCTAGAGCCTCATATGGACGCTACCTTGCTTTCCCCACAACAGCCTTGCAAAATCGGCATTTATCCCTATTTTACAGATTCAGAAACTAAAGCTCCTTGTCTCTAGTCCTGCCCCTCTGAACCCCTTGGCTTCTGAAAAGGCCCATCCTCAGAATATAGTCACCAAGGGGCCCACCAGGATTTAAACCCTGGAGGCGAAGAGTTTGGGGACACACACCCCCAACACCACCAATGCCCAGTGGAGGGAAAGCCACAGAACCAAAGTCACCAGCTATTGTTGACAAGCACCTCATCCTGCCTTGCCTAGAATCCAGCATTTCTCAAAAAATAGGAATGAAACAGGGAAGGGTGAAAAGGGTAAAAAATATGGTAAGGGAAGGAAACTACACTTCTGGTGGTGAGCACACACACTAGAGTACACAGATATAGAATCATAATGTTGCACACCTGAAATGTATCTCATGTTATTAACCAATGTTACCACTATAAATTTTAAAAAGAAAAGATTTAAAAAATAAAAATAGGAATCAAATCACAGGGAGAATGTGATGAGACAGGTGGCCCTGCTGCCAGGCAGCGTACGTACTAACACGTGAAGAGGCACAGAGCTGACCCTTCATAAAATCATCCTAATAATCAATAATCACCGTGTTTGGGTACAGAAACAGATTCTTCATTAAGAAATGCTGTTCATCTTGAGGACATTATGCTGAGTGAAATAAGCTTGTCACAAGACAGGCACTGTATGATGGACTGATAGAAGGTACATAGAGTAGATTCTGAGACAGATGTGGGTGGTGGCTGCCAGGGGCTGGAGCAGGGGTATGGGAGTTGTTGTTTAATGGAGATAGAGTCAGTCTTACAAGATGAAAAGAGTGCTGGAACTCCATTGCACGACAATGTGAATACACTTAACATTACTTAACTGTACACTTAAAAATAGTAAATATGGGGGCCAGCTGAGTGGTGCATTGGTTAAGAGCTGGCTTGGGATGCCAGAGGGCCCCAGTTCTGATCCCACAGATGAGGGCCAGTGACACTGCCCTCTACAGCTAAGATGCTGAACAACAGCTCAACCTGGAGCTGGGCTGCTATGAGTCGCCGGCGACAGCGTAGGCTGCAGCCCCTGCGGCAGTGGGTTGCCATGGGCTACCGTGTGTAGTTAGCAGCCAGCATGAGCAGCTCTCAAGCCGCCATGAGCGGCCGTCCAGAAGCCGGCGACTGATCTGCCTCCCCCAGGAAGAGCGCAATGATGGTGCCAACTTGGGCCAGTGAAGCAATGTCCTCCACAACTAGACTGAAGAACAAAAGGACAGCAACATGTCTGTTCCCCTTCCCCCAATTCCCCAATAAAAATCTTAAAAAAAAAATAGTAAAGATGGTAAATTTTGTGTTATATATATATTTAGCACAATTAAAATTTAATAACAAATAAAAAGGAAGGAAGGAAGGAAGGGAGGGAGGGAGGAAGGAAGAGGAACTTGAAAACCCAGGAAAGGAGGGTAGAGTGGAAGGAGGGGTGGGTTGGGGTGGGGTGAGGTAGACATAGGATGGGATGAAGTAGGTGGGGTGAACTGGGGCTTCAACCCCAGTCCTGCTGTGTGCGAAGGCCCAGGGACTCAGGGCCCCAGGTGCCCCTCACCCACCCGAGCTGGGCTTGAGGTTGTGGGCAGGTCCAAACAAAGGCCACACAGTATTCGTCCCTGACTGGGCCTCTTAGAGAGTGTCCACCTGTGCCAGACTCCAGGCACAGGGCTGATCAGACTGCAGGCCCTGCCCTCGTGAGATCCAACCGGGACAAAAGGCACAATTACACACCTGAAAACCTTCACCTCTTGGGCCATTGGGAGCTAACACTTCCTGAGCACCTGCTAGGTGCGGGTGCAGGAGCTTGACATGGATTCACTGTGTAATTCCCAGTAGCACCCTGACAGGTGGGGGCTAATGACAAAACCCCATTTTACAGACAAGGAAACTGAAATACAGCGAGGTAAAGCAAAACTGGCCCCCCTAACCATTAAAAGCTACCCTGTCAATTTAAGATAGAAATAAAAAATATAAAAGAAAAATAACCAAATAGTCAAAATCTAAGAAATAAATAAGTAAACAAACTCCACTGCCCCACTGAGGTGTGCCCCCCAGGCACTCAGAGTGCCCCGAGTAAGAGACGGCGTTCTGCAGGGGGACCCTTGAGCTGAGTTTGGAAGGACTAAATACAGTTAGTGAGATGACACTCCCACTGCCTGAGTGTCAGGGAGCGTCAGAGTGGAGGCTGAAGCAGGATGGGCTCTCACAGAGCCATCCTCACGGCCTCCGGGTGGAACCGCTCTGGCAGCCTCGGCAGGCACCCTCCACTCTGGCTTGGCTGGGCCCTGTCTCGTATCTCCCGATACCTCATTCTCCCTGGACATTCCGGGCTCGTAACCAACATTCAGTAAAGACACACTAGTTGGGTTGGTGTGAAGAGCAATGAAGCCCATCCCAGGTGACAAGTCCTTCGTACCAGACACCAGGCCACCTGCCTTCTGGGGACAAGCTCTGGAATGGGCTGCCATTGGCCCTAGCATGGACAGGCATTCTGAGACCTGGGGGCCCAGCCTGGGGATGTGGAAGGGAGAGGCTGTGCTGCTCCATGGTGGGCAAGTGGAGGCCTGACACATGCACACAGCCACAGGGAGCCACACACATGGGCACACGCAAACACATGCAGGATATAGAACACCAACATACATATGAATGTAGGTGTGTGCAGGCCAAAACCAAGACATCCACACCCATAGGACCACCACACACATGGGTGCATGCGCGCACACACACACACACACACACACACACACACACACACACATACACCCATCCATGTGCTCCCAAAACGAAGTGGAGCATGTGGATGGGGCCAGTTGAGTCCTGGACACAGGATCAAAGCCAGTAACAGGAATAGGCTGGAGCCAACCTCCCAGAAACCACCTCTCTTAGCTGAGACAGGACACTGCCCTGGAAAGGCCACCAGTACAGGAGAGCTGGGGCCCAGAGCAGGAGGGCCCACCTCACCTTCTTCCCTCACAGTCCCCCTCGCCCTCTGCACAAAGAAAAGTGAGTTCTGCTTAACAGCTTTGGAGCATTTCCCCAGGCATTGCCTTAAGATGAATCGGCTTGAGTTGTTTTTTAAAAACAGTATTTTATTGACACATCCTCAAGATTCTGTATAAATATAAAGTGCTAAGTTTCCAGGCCCCACCCACAAGGCTGGCAGGAAGTGGGGGAGGGAGTGTTAAATGTCAATTGAACACAAATAACTTGTCAGCGCCAACACCAGCCTGCAATGCTCACAAAACACACGCAAGAGATCCACACACACGGGACGCGTCACTTCTCTAGCCCAGCGCCCCAGAGGCTCAGGTTCTAGGCCTCGGGGTGTGCCATCCCCAGACGAGGCTCCTGGTTGTCACAGCTTGTTTCCTTGGGGCTCTCAGGCTGCCAAGAGCTTCAAAATGGTGGTGGGACCAGTGGGTCCACCCGTGTAGAGTCCAGTTAGTTTCTGCCAGAGGATGGAAGAGGAGGGAAGCAGACAAAGCCTCCATTCTCATCCCTGAATGAGGGCCGGCCCTTGGACCCCTAGCAGAAGAGCACCAGATGAGAGAGTCCTGGATCCCTGCACTCCCAGCGCTCCCACTCGGGAGCAAGCTCCGAGGAAGGGGAAGCTATTCCTGAGGTGAGGGAGACTGACTGTGGGGTCTGAGGGGAGTCCAGCTGTCCCTCAGCTCCCCAGGGACCCGCAGCAGTGTGTACCTTGGCCCTGCCTCAGTGACACAGGACCTGAGTCTCAAACTGTAGCAGCTGCCCCATGAAACTGAAGTTGGGGGAGATGACCCCCCGCCGTTGCTTAACAAAGTCAAAAGCCTCGTCTAGCCGCACGCGGTGGCTCTGTATGAGGTATGCCAGACAGATAGTGGCCGAGCGTGAGATGCCCGCCTGGCAGTGCACCAGCACCCGGCCCCCGCTGTCCTTCACCGAGTCTGCAAGGAAGATGGGTGGGGCTCAGGTGGGAAGGTGCGCAGGGAGACCAGGCCCCAGTTCCTCCCCTAAGCCCATCCTGCCCTGGGGCTGAGGTCCTCTCCAGTCCCCACCCTGGGCCTTGCCCTGGGCCTTACCCCCTCGTTCCCCACCCCAGTCCCAGTGTTGGGGCCCCTCCTACCAATGAAGCCTATGGCCTCCTGGAACCAGGCACTGATCTCCACCACCTGGCTGTCCTCCACGGGGATACTCTTGTAGCGCAGAAGGCCCTCAAAGTGGTTGGGGCAGCTGGCGGAGACGTTGAGAACAGCGGTGATACCGCAGGCCTGCAGCCCCTGCAGGTCCGATGAGTGGCTGCAGCTGCCCAGGAACAGGTAGGGCAAGATCTCCACCGGGCCACCCTGGAGGAGGAGAGGGGCGGGTGAGGTCAGCTCTGCCCAGGCCTGCCCAGATCAGACTCGAGAGTATGAGAACACAAGGGGACACAGAGACAGACACTCACAGATACACACGTTTCCCTTATCCCCGCAGCCCCAAAATAGGCTGCAGACATCCACAGACCAACAGAGGCACTCAGGAGTCACCCATGCCAGGCACACACAGGACAGTGACAGGAGCCCTGATCTCAACCAACCTGGTCATAGAAGGGAGCCCTGGAGTCTGAGCGGCTGTTTTCAACACCAGCAGGCGGCATCGCCGGGGCAGGGGACTCAGAGCACAGGTCGGGACAGCAGGCCTGGAAGGCCTCGAAACCTCCTGCGGGGAGGGACAGACACGGTTGATGGGAGGGCTGGGCGAGGAGGGCACGGGCACGTTTCGCGGGAGGGCCGGGTGCTCACCTCGCAGGAAGCACACGGCAGCGGGTCCGGCGCGGGTCTCCTGCAGCAGCGCGGCCAGTAGCACTCGGGCCGGGCCGTCGGGCGGCAGCGCGGCCAGAGAGGTGCCAGCCTGGTCCAGCACTACAGCGCGCGCCAGCTCCCCGCGGGCCAGCCGCGCCCGAAGCGCGCGGTCGGGCACCAGGCAGGCGAGGACGGCGGCGGACGGGCCACGCGCGCGGCGCCGCAGCATGGCGTTCCAGGGCACCGGCCGCGCGGCGCGCACGTGGCGCCGGCAGAAGGCCAGGAAGGGGCGGCAGTCGAGCAGCAGCGTCCGCTCGGCCTCCCGCGGCTCCCGCAGCAGCGCGCCCAGCGTCTCGCACTCCAGCTCGCTCACCGCCTCCAGCCCCATAACACCGTCTTCTTCTAGCGCTTCCCCTCGCTCCCCGCTCCTCCCGCTCCCTTGGCTCTCCGCGCAGCTCCGCCGTCTACTAAGGCGCCCCGGCAGTCCGGCCTTAAGTAGCCTGGCCCGGCCCCCGGGTCACCATACAAGGCAGAACAGGAAGGCGCCGGCGCCGCCCCCGCGACCTAACGCGGGCGCAGGCGGGGCGGCCCGGGACTGGGGACTGGTGCGCTGGGGGAGGACGGGGGACCAGCTCCTGAGAAACGGTGTGTGCCAGGGGCAGTGGGGCCCAAACACCCTCCCGCTCCCTCCTTGCGCCACAACCTGGAAGCGCGCGCTGCTCAGTCCTCGTGGATGGCTTCTCAGATGCACATCCAACTCCCCACGGACTTCGGGCCGCGGTGCCCTTTGCCCTGCTTGCGCTTCCTTTTCCCTGTCCCTCCCAGGATGTTCCCCGCGAGGAATCTGACACAAAATCGACATGCTTGCTGTCACCGGTGATTTCTGCACTGGAGGGTACACTGTCTCTCTCCTACTTGGAGATCTTAGGCAGGAAGGGCTTGATTTTCCCATCCCCTCCCCCATTTCAAGACCCTGTGCGTCTGAGTGAGGAGAACTCCAGCTTGTGTGTGTGTGTGTGTGTGTGTGTGTGTGTGTGTGTGTGTGTGT